CTGATGGACACCGTGAATGCCTGTCAATGAGGCTCTCAATACCATTTTGCTTATTTTTTGTGCACCCGCCTCCCGACCATTGCATTGTCAGTTTGGAGTCATGAAAAAGTAACTCAAATAAAGATCATTGTTGTATTTATGAGTCAGGTACAGAGGGGATGATTTCCAATTAATTGCGCAGACAATTTTCAGAGTGAGGAATGATACGCCTTTTGTTTGAAGCGATGATAGTATCAAGTTAGTAGAACAGTCAGTTTGGTTTGGATATTCTTAAGCACAGGGATGGATTTCCACTTGTTTTTGTTAAACTAAATACTGCTGAAGGACAGACACAGATCGCGGTACAGCAACATGTTCACAAATACACCCACTGAGCCATTCTCGTTGGTTCAAAAACAAACACTCATTCACATTCACATCCACACACACTCACACACACTGCCATCCACCCACGCCCACATAGACACACAATCAATCTCATCCACTGAGGCCCCCACACACAACCTGACATTCACATCCACACATACTCACACACACTGACACACACTCACACCCACCCAGACCTACACACACTGACATCCACCCAGACCCACATACACTCACACACACTCACATCCACCCACGTCCATATAGACACACAGAAAATCTCATCCACTGAGGCCCCCACACACAACCAGACTGACCCAGGCCCACACACACTCACTCAACACAGGCCCACACACACTGACACACACTCACACAACACAGGCCCACACACACTGACACACACTGACACAACACAGGCCCACACACACGACACACACTCACACAACACAGGCCCACACACACTCACACAACACAGAACCACAATCAACTCATACACACTCATACACACCCAGACCGATACACATTGACAAACACCCACATCCATCTCGGCCCACCCAGGAGCACACACTCACACACACACACATCCACCCGGTCCATGCGCACTCACATACACTCACACAAAACTGCATTGCTGTGACACTTCACCAAGTAGGACACCCACACTGTCAGGAAACTGGCTTCTCCCCTTTTATACATTGCTGTAACAAATACGTCTCAATGTCACCATTTTCCTTGAGGTGAATCTGCAGGTTTTTGAGAATATGATACATGTTTTTGTTCTCTAAGATAGGAAGCATCACCTTGACAGTTAGTGTCAGTGTCTGATCCCTTCCCCAATCAGTCTCACATGGCCACATGCAGCAAAGGTGGTAATCAATAAAGCTCAGGGATGAACCGTTACACTTAACCCTCAATCCCTTCAGCTGATGTAACCTGACGTTTGAGTCGGTTCCTCTATTGCTTTACAGCAATTTTAACCATTTTGAAATAGGCACAGTGCCATTGATAAAAATATTGATGATGACATAATATGGTAAACGACACAGTCAGGAATAAGATGGGGAATGGCATAAAGTTACAGAGCGTTCGGCTGAGTTGGCAGAAAGGTGGAAATGAAGTTCAATATTGACACAGCAGTTTTTTGAAAGTATATTTAGGAAAAATAACCACTAAAGGTATTACAGCAAAATAATTCTAATATAAGTGGAATGAAGAAAACTTGGAGTATAAATCGATGGGATTCAATATCAAAAGATCATAAAAATGGATTCAGTGTTTTTCAGAGCGGAAATTGATTGCCAATTCTATATAAAGTTAGCAGGATTGTGGGTGGGGCACTGCGTGCAGTTCTGGACACTGCTATACAAAGGACATAAGAGCCACTGAGTGGGTTTAGGGAAGTTTCACAAAGATCACAAGGATGATCTCTGTGATTGGCGTTACAATGATGAGGATTAGCTTCAAACACTGTGGCTGTTCTCATAAAAAGCGAAGGGAAAAAAAGGGAAGTCTCTAAATACACGTTTTCAAATGTATGAAGGTTTTGAAAGACTGACATAGTGAAAGACGTTTGTATCCATACAAACAGTATAATACACCCAAGAATGTCACTGAAAAATATAAAGGCAGAGTCGATATTTATTTAGAGATACACAGTACTACTACTGCCAGTAATCCTTCCATTTGATATCGCAGCTTATCACATCTCCGAGATGCCTCAAAGCGCTTCACAGAATGTACTTTAAAGTGAATTGATTGTGTATTTTGTGGACAACACGGCAGCCAACTGCGCACAGCAGATCTTTTAGAATATAGGATTGTTGATCACAACACCTTCACATGAAGGAATTTGAATTTGAATAGTCACAGTGTGAACATGGAAAAGAACAGCAGAAAGGTGGATAGATTTGGGCATTTTCTACCAGAAGACTCTCAATGGGAGGTTTCCACCTTTTATAATTCTACAACTTTAATTTTCTCAATGTGTTTCCAAAATTCTTCACTGGATTCAATATTTTTGGGAAGAAATAAACAAACAATAAAATCAATTACTTTTTCATCTCTCTGAAAATTAAAAGTTTTGAAGGTTTGGCAGGAGGTTCTGTGTAGTTCAGTAGAGGGAGGGAGCCCACGATCAACTGGGAAACTTTATATGCATTAATAATCAAAAGAGAAAAGAAAAGTCTCAGGTTTCAATCCCCTCTGAATATATTTCTTCATTTTCATCCTCACAGAGATGATCCCAACCGAGACGATGCTGGAAGGTTTTCAACAAGATGAACATGACAACCTCAGGCCGACAGCTTCCACCTTCATCATCCTCTTCTTCCTGAGTATTTTCTACAGTGCCACGGTCACTCTATTTAAGGTGGGGAGAGGAAATTCATTGACACTATGATCTGATGTAACAGCTGCTGGTAAATAATTCTTCCACGGGAACTGATGGTGAAGCTCATTGCAGCCACTGTGCTGGTAAACTCCCCCTGTCCCCACAGGACAGGATCCGTGTGACCAAGCTGTGTGAGGGTGATGGACATATCCTCTCACCATTACACACTCTATCACACCTGACATATGCTCACCTGGTATAGCCACAGGCAAGGAGCGAGGCTCATTTACTGATCTTGTGGATCTTTCAGTATATTGTGGATACTTGAAAGCGAAGGGCTTCTGCCTGAATAAGGCAATGACAGACCAATACCCACTGACACAGTATCAGTTGGGATTGCGTGTGTTTGTGGGTGGTGGGGGGGGATGTGTGGACATTCATACACACAAATAAACACAATCTGAAATACTAAATCTCCTCCCAGGCTGAAATTATTCATCATATCTTTACTTTTATTTTCCAGGTAAAATGAGTTTATTACCATCAGCTTCACCGATGTTCCTCATCTGTTTGTGTTTATCTTCAATGTCCTGTGATAGAGTATGTGATGTCTTGTTCCACCCATTGAAGGCATTCATGGGAAGTAAACAATGTATTGTGCAATTACATGAATTTTAGTGACTTTTCTTATTGTTAGTCTATGTTACAATGTGCCTTTTGTTCATAATATATAACGTTGTTATTTCGTGTACTGTCACTCCTCTCTGATATTCTTTATTTGCTGTTTACTATTTGTGTGGTGTAATAATACAGAAAGACAGAGGCTGTTATATTTTGTCCTTTTATTTCATTCTGTAGATGAGTATTTGTGATCCAATCCAATTCCATAATGCCTCCAGATTCTCACTATTTGTTTGCCCGAAGTATCAATAAATGATAAAAGTTAGTGAGCTGTTTGATCTGTGTCTTTCCTGTTCCCTTTGTGTCAATGCCGCTTTGACTTCTGATTTCCAAATTGTTCAGATTCACAGAAGCTCAGCATTAAACAAAAGCTGTTGAATGAACTGTCCGACTTCAGTTCGGGTTTTGCTGGAACAACTAATGGGCGACAATCTTTGTACTTGAATTGCTTCTCCGCTCCAGTGACCAGCAGCTGCTTCCGTCCCCCAGTGATCAGCCCCACACCCAGATACAGCTTCAGACACATGGCTATTCTAATATAGTAACACACAGCTCTGTGTTATAGTATTTATAGCTCAATGTGAGTGTGCAATATGTTTGATACATGCAGAGAGCTTCATCTCCTGCCTGTGCTGAGCTGACAATCTGAGCAGCACCACAGTGGGAGGCCATGAAGCCCAAATCCTAGCTGTGGGCAGTTGGGCTGCTGTGTTGGCCCAGACTCCTCTTCACAGTTTAAACTGTGAAAGGCTTTGGGACGTCTTGCTGACGTGGCAGCAAACAACATGTGCAACCACTTGAGACAGAGGTTATTGGCTCAAATCCACATCGGCATTTGACAATAATGGAGTTGATATTTGTGAAATACACTCCAATGCTCTGCTCAGGTTGTCCTGCGTTTTTATGGGTTTGGTTCTTCGGTCCTTTTCCCTTCTTAGTAAACTCTTGAAATGCTTTGACTCATCTCCTTGATGTGAAAAGCTCCATAACAAACCTCAGGATTACTACTGAGATGGTCGACTTTCAGCAAACAGAAAATCAATAAGTACATCTTTCGTATGTTAGTTTCAACATTAGAGAGACAGACAGACACGTGCAATAATCCGTTTGCCGTTTCACCTATTTCAATATTTTAAAGAAAATGAACAGATCCAGAATTAATATTGTCGCCATTCCACAGAAACTCCCTGCACAGAAGCACATATTTTGCGTCCATTGTCGGCTGTTATTTTTTCTAAAATTAATATTTACATCTCTCGAATAGTAAGCATTTCCCCGCTCTCCGCCATATACCCTTTTAACCCAGTTCACAGCCAATTCTATTGAGGTATATGGAACCCTGCACCCGAAGCAGATGCTTAGTGGGGAAATGTTGTGTAACATTTACCTTTACAATTCTGCTAAGACCAAATATCAAGCCTTGATTTATATTGCATTCAGTATTTTTCAGCATTTTTTATCCTTAGTTACATCCGCTTTTAATCTGAGCTGATCTGCAACAGATCAGTTTGAACATATGAACATAAGAATTGTTAGTCGAAAGAAGATTATGGTCTGTCCAGTTTGCCCTCCACCATCCTGGCAGTCACGTGCACATGTCAGGTCTCACACTATATACTGTATCCCACAATATTATTTCCTAAAATACATCCATCTAATTTGCTTTTGAAAGAATAAACAGGTGATGTTCCAACCATCTCCCGAGGGAGTCTGTTCCATACGTTTGCTGTTCGCTCACTGAAATAGTATTTACGCAGATTTGCTTTGAATTTCAAATGCAGGCCATGGTCTCTGTTTAGCCGACACTCTGTACAGCTGTTTTGCTTCCTACCGTTACCCTCCCTGAGAATCAGCACAACAGGGAAGGAATTTCGCTTGTGTCACACTTTACTGTTCAATGCAGAATTTTACTGTGTCCAGAACTTGGCAAATTGTAAAATACAGCCATCAATTTAAAGTACGTTTTCCATAAATTTCTTGCATCAACTGCAGCAAACTGGTGACAAGAAGAACAAATTACATTCGTAAAGCGTCTTTCATACTGGGAGGACGTCCCAAAGCTCTGAACCACGATAGAGTTTGTTCTGATTCCAAAAAAATGTGCATTTTAAAACGTTCTGATATTTTCTCAAAACCCTCCTCGTTCTCAAAACCCTCCTCGTCGGTCACCTCCCCTTTCCCTCCGTTCCCTTCTCCCCCCCCCCCCCCCCCCTCCCCCACCCCAGCTCGGGTTTGAAATGCTGTACACTCTCCAGCCCCTTGGATCGTACTCCAGACATGAAAGGCGCTGTACAAATGTTATCTGTTATTGCTGTTGTTGTGGATGTGTGTGTGTCTATGTGTATGTGAGAGAGGGGTCGGTTGAGGAAGAATTTGCACAGGAGACAAAACTCTGTTTAGGGAACAGTTTAACTACAACTGTTCTTCAGGAAACCCTGAGTGTCTGGAATGGAATGTGTAAATCTCTTCCATGAGGAGCAGACCTTTCCAACCTGATTCAGGTGCATTTCAGACGCTGATGCGTTAGGCTTTCGAAGTGTAACTGCTGGGGTTTAAAAAATTAAATTTGAAATCTTGCGATTGCACGCACTGTCTGGCAAGGTTCCTGCTACTTGACCAGTTAGAATTATCCCCTGTGTTAGTGCTTTGATCAGCAGGGTTAACAGGACTTAAATGGGATGAATGTCCAATGCCCACTGTGACTGCTTTGCCCACTGGTCCTACCAATCGGGCAGGCAGACAGGCTGGTTTGCCAACAGCAGGACCTGGATTACATCCGAACCCACGTGGCTCAGGAACCGGATTATCGAGGATTGCCACAGAGGACTGACTCAGTTCCACATTTTGTTGCCAACCGTTCCACCGAGGAGTGAATTCATTTCCAAAAAGAAACCGAGTCCCCCAACACTCCCCCACCCCCTTCCCACCACAACACACACACACTGCCCCTGTACTCCATATGGATAGTCAAATTAAAGTACAAATCACAATTGATAACTTGGAGAAATTTTTTTATTTATATTAACCCTTTTACTGAAACCTGCTGCCCCAGGTCAAACAACACTTACAAGAAATCATTGACATTGGCACGTGATGATCTGAGAAAGAGTCAGTTTCTTATCTGCAGGAAACACCTGCACTTTCTGACACTAAATTAGAGCGATTTCCTCCTAATGTAAAACTGACCTGAAAGCCATCTGCTAGAAACTGGTTAAAAATGTTCCACCGAACAACACAGAGCGTCCTCCACACTTGGCTTCTGTCTGTGGAAATAAAATAATTGACAAATTAAAGTCTCAGATATTGTTCTGCAGAGTTACAAAAACTGTTGATCGGCATTTGTAACTATTGGGGAATACTTCACACTACAGCATTAATATTATCCGTCAACAAACCAATGACGAACACCAGATAAACATGTTACAGAGCTTAAAACTTCTTGGATTCTTGGTTATTTCATGTTTCTGTAACTATAATCCCTCCACCCAAACTGTATATCACAAAAGTAAAACAAATATTTGAAACCTATTGCAGGTAAATGAGCATCAGAGAGAATAACAATTTGCAGTTGTTATTATGGCCGCCTTATTACAATCTAACAGCAACATGAGGAACACGTGTGATTGCAGAACAGAAACCTTTTTTATTGAGTAGAATTGATCTTTGGAAATGTATTTCAGAGACTGTTACTGTGAAACCAAAACTATTCAGGAAATAAAGCAGCTTTTGTGTCTAAGTGTTTATATAAAGTGTTTGGAAACAAGTAAATTGTTTGTATTGTGTCTGAGCGCTGAACTATGTGTATTAACTCGGCTCAGTTGGCAGCACTCTCGCCTGTCAGTCAGATGGCTGTGGGTTCAAGCCCTGTGTCTGTGTGTGGAGCTCAGGAACTCTCGGCATTGCAGTGCAGGGGCTGAGCTGTATTGGAGGAGATTTGGTCCTCTGTTTCTGTGGATGTTATCGAACACATTCCTCTCTTTCGAAAAATAGGACATTTCTCAAATGGGGATTGTTGGCCAGGATACAGGGAGACACTCCCTTCTCGTGTCGAATAGTGCCCTGGGATCTTTAACATCGACCTGAACAGACAGACAAACCTCTGTTTAATGTCCCATTTGAAGGATTGCGTCCCTCACAACGCAGCACAGTCCCGGCACTGTTTTGTAGTATCAGCGGGACTATATGAGTTTAAAATGCCGATGTGGGTCGTGTCCACACAACCTTTATATCAGAGGCAAAAATGCTGCCATGTGAAACCGACTAATACACACTTCACGGCTGCTTGGCATCGGCTGCAAAATACAGTCACTAAACTCTGCTGTAAATCATGTGCAGTGACGAAAATATTCTCCGGACATGAAAGGCGCTGTATAAAATGCAAAGATTATTATATTCTCTGTGTATTACAGGTGTTAAAACATAACATTTATAACCTACACCGGTGAAACAACATCTGAGAGAACAATAATTTAGAGTGTCTATTATCCCCTCAATCAGAGAACCAAAGAAGTTTACAATACAGAAAAGGTAACTTTTTCTATTCTGTGTCTGTTGGTTCTTTTAATTGCAAACCTTCATATCCCGTTCACTCGCTCTGTTCATATACACCAATAGTTGACTCCAGTTTAGCTTTGTTTCTCGCTCTTTTCAAAACTAATATGGATTTTTATCACAACACCTGAGCCGGTCAGCCCACTCCATATCCAAACCACTCTGTGCAATAAAAATAAACTAACATCGCCATTAGCTCATTTGCTAACTATCTTAAATTCATATCCTTTAGTCACTCATTTACTGAACAGTAGCAATACATTCTCTATATCAGCTCTGACAATAACTCAGATAATTTAAAGTCCTCTATCAGGTCATCTCTCAAAATTTTTNGATTAGATTTCCACCATTAATGTGGAGTCATTGTGGAGTCCTGTGTCTCAGTGTTTAGAGTACCAGCCTCACAAGCAGGAGACCTGGGTCCGATTACTGACAGAGCAAAAAATGTGGGCAAGTTTCCTTGCTCCACACGTGAGATAATAATACCTGAAGAAAAATAAAAAATAATAAAGGTCATTTCAATCCACGACTATTGTAGGATACTGCTGTGTGCTGTTTGCTGCCGCATTTTGCCCACAAATATTCAATCAATTCACTTTACAGTAATTTGTGAAGCTCTTTAAGACAACTACAACAAGATTCCATTAAAAGAGCGCTCATAAAGTGCTATATCGAATGCAAGGTTATTATTATATTATTATTATTCCCATATTTTCTGTTGATTTCTAGTATCTTAATACGGAAAATATCTTAATATTTGTTGTTTCTCTGTTTCACTCATCTCACAATGTAACCGATGTGATTTTATTAGAAATGTTTTCAAATAGCATGA